CACAGGGCTTGATTGCCCTTGCTGAGTTTCTCTGTGGCGGCATGAGCAAATGGCGAGACATGGAAGGAACTTGATGATGTCGCCATGGATGAGTTCGAGGGCAGCTCTGATACCAAGAAAGAAGAAGAAAGGCGTGGAAGCGTATACCTTCTGGCAGGGATGCGTACGTGTTAAATACTCAGAGAAGATTACATCATGCGGCGCAGGTTGTTGCAAGAATTTGCCCCTACTCCAAGCTATACACGATAAGGCTTGATCTATACTAACAACCTGCACCGGTTACAATATACACACGCCACAATATACGTGACAACATGTCACGTTTCCTACAACTACTAGCCTACACTTTAACAGGTTACCGCAGTATCAGTACTTGCCGGAACATAAACCTGATGGTAGCACAGACTGATTAAGTCAATGCAAAGAGAAAATAAATGTGTTTTATTATTAAGCGGTTCATATAAGGCTAAGCAAACATCGTTGCATTAAACTAACAATAAGGGAGTTCTGCTACCTAATAAACCATATAAGTAACAACCATGGCCATCATCTAAAAACTGCTTACATAAACGAACATACCAGAGGATGAAAATGGAGGCAATGAAGCTTCACTCTAACTTAGGTGATGCTCATCCACCCAAATTGTTAATCTCTTGAAACACGTGCTATCCAATGAGTGCATAAGCTTCACTGTAACTTAGATGAAGACGGCCAATGAATGCATAAGCAAATTGAATGCTCCAAGAAAGCAAAGCACAGAACCTGCAATGTTTCTGTAACACAAAGGTTACTGATAATTATCGTATTGCACACTAGCAGAAAACATTAAATTAGTTAGTACGGCTTAATATGTTATAGAAAATATCTTACATAACGTGTAGCAATATTCTTTCATACTGTCAATTGATACTTTCCATATGCATTGCTTCCTTCTATGTTAAATATTCAAATATAAAAGCCAAGGATGCCTATTTAAGAGTTATGAGTGACCTATTACCTCCTAGTCACCATGTTGAATCCAAACTGTTGGATCAGAAGGAATGAACAGTCCAGAATAGTTTAGGAGCGTCCTAAAATTTCTCTACAACAGCACAGAATAGTTTAGGAGCATCTTAAAATTTCTCTATCATTCCGTAGAAAAGGGAAGTTGCATAAGAATTATAGGGTGGCTGTATGTGTAAATACGGGAACACCGGACATACGTACCATTGATTGTTGTGAATTATCGTGCCAAAGTATCAGCAGCCTGGACACTGAGCGTGATGTCATTCTAAGCTTCAGAATGCTCATACAGTTGATCCTTCATAGGCACCGGAGGAATAAGACCAGATCCTACACCCTCACTTCCTATTGCCGCTTAGTTAGAAAAAAAAGTGGGTTTTCTTCATTTTGTTGATACCTGACAGCAAAAGGTAGGTGCCTCAATATGCGAGAAGTGGTAGAAGCGTTATGAGAAGATATGTGCAGCTTGATACTTACTTTTCAATCAAAATTGGCAAGCACACTGGATTAGTAAATCCATAAAAGCAGAACTAGAGGAATATTTGCAGAATCGATCTGACTTATTGAAAAAAAGGTACAATTATCCACAGGCCTGCTTTCCTGTTCTGAAAGAAGATAGCAGAATGCATTGCATTAAAATTTTGATACATGAGCAACTAGATTGCAGATTCAGAGGTGCAAATTGGTTACCTGATGAGATTCTGTGAAAAAGGTGAATAAAAATAGACATATTCATCTATAGGTCCATCAGCTGTCGCCTTACTCTTCATATTTACCATGCAGCGGGCACATGAAGGCTGTATTACGCCGTTTCAAAAGTAGAACAAAAGCTACCACACCTGCATAAGAAATTTAATTGTTTTCTGGTTAGAAAAAGGGAAGCTGCATAAGAATTGATTATTGGGCAGCTGTATGTGTAGATACAGAGATACAGAAGTCATGAATGGAATGTGAATGAAATCATAAAAAGTGCTTCGGTACACCCCCCACCCCCCCCCTCATAAAACGTATAAAGGGTAGTATGGACTTTTCACAAATTGTATTCACTTTCCTACATAGAACGTATATACGTTCCACAGCCCCCACGCGCTACGTGTAGCCGCACAAACCATCCGGGACAGCACATCAGATTTGCTTTCTTGACTTGTTTTCCACTTCTTGTGCCCAAGAAATAAACACATCACCTCCACTCTTTAGTTTATGTCTCTTTTTTTGCACGGCTTTCTTTAGGGTTTCTAGTTTTCCTGTTTTGTTCATAAAATACTAATATTTGTATTTTTAAAAATTGTACATAAATTTCAAAACAAATGTTCATGCCTTTCAAACATGCTCAGAATGTCAAAATACGAACAGTTTTTTTTAAATAAAAAAATTCGAACACGAACATTTTTTGAAAAAAGTAAAAAAAATGGAATTCCAGAAAAAAACAGAAAAATATGAACAAAATTTGAATTCTGAAAAAATTAAATATATGTGAAATATAAAAAATAAACATAATAAACGAAAAGTCTAAGAAGACAAACAAATAAACACAAGAGAAGATAAAAAGAAAAAGAAAAACATGGTTCACGACCTACGAGAAGGTCCCAAAACAGGAAAAAATGGCTGGGAACCCGAGGTTTCCAAGACCGAGATTTTTTTTTTTTGCAAATTTCATAGTGAACTTTATTTCGATTTTTTGTGAAAATATTCAAATCCATGAATATTTTTAAAACAATTGATGAACTTTTGAAATCCGTGAGCTCTTGGACCGGCCCAACACATGCCCGACGAGAGCAATGTCGTCGCCTAGTTGGGCCAAGGCCTAAGCGTTTTATTTTATTTTCTATTTTTTCATTTGATTTCTTATTTTGTTAACTCATTTTTCTCTTTTTTGAATACCAAAATACAAGTTGTAACTAACTTTTTAAACTAGTTATTTAATAAAAATATAAAATATTTATTAAATGTTTTAAAAAACACTTACTGTTTTCAATTTTATCCCTTTGTATTTATTAGTTGGGGTCATTTCAAGGATGTTCAAAAAACATCATGTTCGACGGAGATTATTCGGTAAGTTCAGAATGGTTCATCTGAGAGCACATTATTTTTAAACATATTTGAAATGGCCCAATTTCCCCACCAAAAAAGATGAAGAAATGGACCCTTCTCGCTTACCCGAACACCCTCTGTTGAACATGATCTATTTTTGAACATGCATGAAATCACCCCAACCTTTTCCAGTAGGCGGGCATGCCCATGATAGGCATCCATGCCAGGTTTGAATGAATTTCCCACAACGTATGCATGTTCTGTCACGTCCGGCCATTTATCGGCTTGTTTTCACCGAGAAAACTCTAGAAATTGAAAAAATTGTAGAAAACTTAAATAGCTTGATATGGTGCCTTGATTTGATCATAGAAGTAGGTGGAAAAATTAGGCCTTTAGAAGAATGTTGAGAAACAACGCACCCTCCGGTAGAGCCTTCTAGCCAACCTGAACACCCCTTCATTAAACATGGGCTACTTTTGGACATTCTTAAAATGACCCCAATCTTTTCAAGCAGGTAGGCATGACCATGATAGTCATCCATGCCAGGTTTGTACGATTTCTGACACCGTATGCAAGTTGCGACATGGCCTCCCATTATCGAGCATTTTTTTACCGAGAAAACTACGAAAAATGTAAAATTTGTCGAAAACCAAAACAACTTGGCATGATGCCTTGAATTGGTCATACAAGGCATGAAAAAAATTGGGGTCATTTCAAGCATGTCGGAAAACAACGTGCTCTTAGACGGAGCCATCTCGCCTACTCGAACACCTCCGTTGATCATGGTCTAAGTTTCCTTTTTCCATTTTTTGTAGTGCGTCAAATATAACGTAAAAAGAAAGACTCTGGTTTTCCTTTTCAACCGGGCTAGTTTTTTCTTCAGTTTTTACATGGGTTTCTATATTATTTTGTTTTTCTTTTCTTTTATTGATTTTGAAAAAAGTTCATCAATAATTCAAATTAAGTTCATTGATTTGGAAAAAAATTAACAAAATTTTAAAAAATCCATTGATTTAGAAACAAAGTTCATCAATTTATAAAAAAGACCAACAATTTTCAAAAACAAATTGCCAACTTGCGAAATAGTTCACGAATTTGTGAAGAAAACTGATCAATTTTGGGGAAAGAAAGTTCACTGATTTGAAAAAAAAATCAAGAATTTAAAATTTTGTCGTCATTTTCGATTTAAAAATCACGAATTATAAGAACTTCACGCATTTAAGAAACAAAAAAGAAATGAAAAAGACAACCAGAAAATGTTGCGCTTTTCCAATATAAAAAAACTTACTTTGCACTAGAGGTCCGGTTGCCTAGCTGGTTATTGCGGCTGTAATTGTTGAAGGACCTATGTTTGAATCCTGCAGCAAGCACCTTTTTTGCGGTTTCAAAAAAAAGAAAGGATGAATGTGCTGAATGGGCCAGCCCAGCACGGCAGGGTGTGCACGTCCGTTAACGTACAGCGTATACGTGATTTAAAAAAAAAGAGTTTATAAAAAATGCCTATCATGCCCTTACTTATGAAGAGGTATGGGCTAATCTGAACCGTCCTTGTGTTTAGGAGGGGTGTACCAAAGCAGAAGTGATCGTAAAAATTTATGAGCAGAAATTGGTTTTCCGATACTAACTGGCAGATGCAGAGCAACGGTGCCTGGCAGCCTGCTAGCCTGTCAGAATTTAGAAGTTAAGATAAGCACGAATAGTGGGGAAGCTTCAGTTTAGAGAAATAAGAAGAGGATGCAACAAGTGTTACCTTGGGCTGAATAAGGATAATGTACTCGTAAATTTGGGTATGTTCCTTTCAATTTCTCAGCTTGCTCTTTTTGCTCGGCGCTGCCTGACAGCCCGTCAGATTTCAGAAGCTGACTACATATCGCAACAGTGGAGATTATACTAGTTAAGATAAGGACGAATAGGGGGGAGCCTCACTTTAGAGAAATATAAGAAGAGGCGACATGTGTTACCTTGGGCTAACAATAATAATGTACATGTAAATCTGGGTATGCTTCTTTCAATTTCTCAGCTTGCTGTTTTTGCTCGTCTCTGCCAAAGGGTAGACATAGAACTTGCAGCGAAGTGGGGAAGCCGTCCTCTGGCACTGGCAGGCATCGGAATTCAGGACAACCAACGACTTTTAATTCTTTCAGAGAAGAAAGGTGGTGTAATCCTTGAGGGAGGGACTGCAGAACCTTGCAACAATTAAATTCTAGTTTCTTGAGGGAGGTGAGGAGCTGAAGCGCATTCTCTTGCTCTTCTGTGAAGCCTTTAGCCCCCTCATCACAATGGAATTGCAGTGTGTGGAGGGTAGCGGAGAGGTGGTTGCAAATGGGAGGAACAAGCACTGCCGAGATGCTATCCACCATCAGTTTCTCCAGTTGGAAGGAACCCGCATGCATTAATTTGGTCCTTGACACCTCTGAGAGCAGATCCGCTGCTACAGAGTTGCTGCTCAAGTTAAAGACCTCCAATTCCTTGAGGTTGACTGTGATGTGAGGATTGAACCCATCCACTTTTAAATTCTCGCAGCCTTGTAGGCTTAGATGGGTGAGAGATGTGAGGTTTGAGAGCAGAGCCATTGACCGCATGCTTGACTCCCCCCAAATATCAAGTTTCCTGAGGGAAGCAGGGAAAGGGTTGGTCATCGGAGCTCCTCCTGCTTCTCCCATGGGCCACCGAGACAATAACTTGCAGCATCCACGTATTGTCAATGATTGGAGCGACGTGCTGTCCTGGATTCCTCCTCCATCCTCCGCAGGCAGAAGAACCAGGCCCCTCGACATCCAGAAGCCAAGTGTCTGCAGTGAGCTGGATGATGGGAACTGTATTACCCGTTCCTCCTGGTCTTTACGTGTAGACTTTATCTCCAATCGAGTAAGAGTTGGGCAACTATTGAACACTTTTGACAGCAATTTCCCGGTAAGATGAGATACATCTGTCCTGAGAGTGTCAACTTCACCCAGATTGTGGAAGGCCAAAGCACCAGAATACTTCCTAACAAACAATTCCTTTCCATGGTAATACAACCCTTCTGAACCTTTGTTAACATCAAAATATGTTAGTGTGGAGGTGTGAGGCATGGGGGGCAGACACAACTTGGGGCAACCATCAATGTGAAGCCTGCACAAATTGGTACAAGAGCACTCCGAGAAGGGCATCACACATAGATTGGGACAATTGCTGCAATCGATGCTTTCAAGGCCTGGAAACATATGACAATTAGGTTCCACAACCCACTGGACAAGATCTGACAAGTCATGAAACACAACTTTCTTCAACTGCAAAAGATATTTGCCTGTAACACCACCATAGTCAGGACCAAACTGACGCAGACCAGAAATGCTCTTCAAGCTGAGTTCCCTGAGATATGGTAGCTGCCCAAAAGGTGGAAGACTTCCCCAAGACAGGCCGTGTAAATGGAGAGTCTTTAAATTGTTCACCCATATCTCAGGACACAACCACCTAGGAAAAGTGGTGCCACCATGATTTATAATGCCAAGTGATGTAAGGTTAGAGTGTGGTCGAAGAGCATCAAGAATATCAGCATCTGTATCACTCGGCTGCTCTCCGCCCCAAACTAATGTCAACTCTTTCAAATCCCTTTTCAACATCAATTTGGCGCCACTAGCCTCTTCCTTGGTTGTCACATTTTCAAGATTATGTATACTGAGTGTGCCCCCAAGCTCTCTCAATTCCCCCAACTCTCTTAAATCAAATCCAACACTTTCTTTCTTAACATGGAATTCTTTTAGCTCCCGTAGATACTTCATCTTTCCAACCTCAGGAACATTGGAATGGAGTTCTTCCTTAGCGAGGAAATCACGTAAATTCACAAGACGGCTAATGTCTTTAGGCAAATTATTACTACCACACCAACTACTTAGGTCCAAGAATTTTAAGTGATAAAATCTGGATAGTGTGCTAGGTAAAGTCATGTCTCTTCCAGTGGGTGATCCAATTTGGAGGTACTGGAGGTGAATAAGTTTTGAAAAGCTTTGTGGCAGAGATTCAAGGGACTCTACTTCTATAAATAGGACACGCAGGCCATTTGTTTCTTTAAACGTATTTTTTAAGATCTCAGAGATTGATTTTTTATATCGTCTGAAAATCATCAGTGTCCGTAGATTTACAGTGTCTATCCTTCCTTTTAGTTTACCCATTTCTTCCCTAAATTTTTCATCATATATATTCTCTATGTTGATGGATAAGTGCCGAATAGATTGTGGGATGGCCTCAGCTTTAAAATCTAGATCACTTATATTGAGGCATTCTTTCGCAGAGACACTCCGAGAGAGCTCATGCATTAAATCATGCATTACATAGTATTCACAAAAAGAAGGATGTTCAGAAACCCCCTTGATGAGAAAACCATTTTCCACCAGACCATCCATGCAATTCTTATTGCTTGGGTGGCTAGAGTCTATAATGCCTATTGCAATACGAAAATGATTAATTTCTGAATCACTAAACCTATAATCTTCGGGATAAAGGGCACAGTATGAGAAGCATTTTTTCAGATCAAAGGGGAGGTAATCGTAGCTAATTTTCAAAGATGGTATAATATCATTATCATTTTTCTGTTTTTGCCACTCATGATTGTAAAGAACTCCATTCCAATGTTCCCTGGAAAGATTTTTCTTCAGTAGTCGACCAACTGTTTTCGCTGCTAGAGGGGAGCCCTTTAACTTACTTGCAATTTCTCTTGCAATGCCATCTAGCTCATCTTCATAATCCCTTGGCTTATGCTCATCAAATATACATGATTGAAAGAATGTGAAGAAGTCATTAGACTCCAAGCCTTGCAGCTCTACTGGATCAACTGTTTTCATCATTCTTGCTAGTTTTGGGAATCGAGTTGTGACAAGTATCATGCTGCCTTTGGCTTCCCCCTTTGTGAAGGGAGCTAGCAGGGTTTTCCACTCGTCGTCATTGCATTTCCATATATCATCCAAGACAATTAAAAACCTTTTCAACTTAAGTCTCTGTGCGATGGATTTTTGAAGCTGGTCTAGATTGGTTGTTTCAATTGCAGATTCATCTTTAGTTGGTATGCAGTTATGGATCTGTTGGGTGAGCTTCAACACATCAAAATCAGTCGATACACACACCCAAACCATAGCCATAGTGAAGTGCTCTTCAGTCCTACTATCATTATATAGGTGTTGGGTGAAAGTTGTCTTTCCAATACCCCCCGGGCCAACTATAGGAAGAACAGAAATAGTTTGGCCGTGATATGTGCCACTTGTGATATCACTGATAATTTTCTCAAAAATGTCTCTCCTCCCGTATAATGTATCTTGTATTATTGTGGACCCCATGTGAGGCCGTTTTAGGGTGACAGATGTGCTGCTGCTTGGAATTTTGCTGAGCAAATCGGAGATGGGATCACATAGGGAGTGTATGTCATTTATTACTGACTTGATTTTGCTGGACATGGCCACTCTGTCGAAATATAACTTATCGACATGACCACCCTCATCAGCACTAGCAGTAGCAGAGTTGGTTGCATTCTGGTGTGGGCTATTGGCAACAGCAGTAGGAGCAGAACCATCATCTTGCGTGCGAGAGCAACAAAAGCATGAAATGCAGTTACCGATGGTGTGGCGAACAGCATGGCGACTGTGGCGAGCATGGCCACAGAGGCCATCGCCGAGATCCGGCGCGGCATAGTTGGTGTCGTCGAGCTGGTCCTGGATCTTGAAGTAGTGGAGCTCATCCAGCAAGTCCTCCGCCTCGTCAGCCTTCTTGCTCAGCTCCTCCAACAAGGCCTGTAGGGCGGTGACGTTGCTCACGTCCCTCCCCTCGGCCAGTTGCAGCAGCCCTTGTGTGTGCAGCAGCTTGGTTCGGATCTGGTGGGAGTTGTGGCCGAGCTCGAGGCTATCGACATACGCGGCCACCAGGTCCTCGGACAGCTTCGTGAGCACCTTGCCGAGGAGAGAGCTCGCCGCGCCGACGGCCGCCTCCATTTGCGCTCTGGTTCACTTGCCCAGGATTTGAGTGGTTGGGACTTGGTTTCTTTTTTCTCAGAGAGGTTGGGACTTGGGAGTTGAGAGCAGAGGGCGGCTATCTTTGGCGCCTATTTATACACTCATCATCAACCTATAAAAATCATGGAGCTTCGCTCCTCCCAGGTCAGGTAGTAATGCACTTGAAAATAAGATAAACTTAGGCCATGTCAATGCCGACTCTCAAACCACCCGCAACCGTCCAGACCACGTGGTCTGGACATGTTTTGCCATCCAACATGAGCTTGTATCGGTCCACAGACCGGTCCGAACGTGTT